TAATAATTAAAACAGCTGGATGTAGTTTTATTTTGAAACTTAAGTCCAAATCAGATTTTTAAAAACACTATTTGATAAAAAGAGTCAGAAAAGTTCCAGAAATGAGGAATTTTTGTTATTTGTTTGATTTGGATGAATTTACCTCCACCTCAAACGTGCGCTCGCTCTCATCCAGGAAGATCACGCGCAGCCGGAGCTTGGTCTCCTTGGAGATCCGGGGTTTGGTGGCGAGACCCCCGAGAGTCCGTGTCCGCGGGCGTCGGTCCCCCATGTCCCCCCCTCAGGACCGGCAGCTCGTTAGGTCCATCCTCTCTCTGAGAGTCCCCAAAGAAACGGCTTCAGGCGCGCCTCCTCCTCCTCCTCCTCCTCCTCTTCATCACTGAGCTCCTCTTCATCCTCGCGGCTGCTGCAGGGAGCGCGCGCTCTCCTAGTGCGTCATGGCACGCGGGAGGCACCGGGACCAGGAGCGCAGGGAAGGTTCTGACACCTCTGACAGGGTCTGGGTCAGGAAAGCAGGGAGAGAAATTTAATCTCACAGATCAAAATGTTGCTCATTGAGAACTTATTTAAGAATAAAAATAAAAATCTTCCTGGGTTACTGAGATGCATCAGGGCACTCATTTAAGAATCTTTTTGTTTGTTTTTCGTCTCAAGTTTTATAATTGTGCAGCTTAAACTAAAACAAAGCATCATTATTCATGATTATATCATCACAAAATAAAATTATTGTATAAAAACAGATTAACTACCTGAAGTAAATCAGTTGTTGCCATAAAGAATTCTGCAAAATATCACAGTTTGATCAGTTTGTGAACCTCAGCTACAAAATAAAACACATTTACAAAAAATACTATTATTATTAATAATGTTATTATTAGCCTATCATACTTTAATTTTGCACCAGTTTCACTAACATACATCAGGATATTTTCTATAATCCATACACACACTGTGACTTTAGCATGCTTTTATTTTGGTGAGCAACAATCTTTTTTAATTATTCTCAACATCTTCACACTTTGATTCAAACATCCTATTATATTTAAAATAACTTGTGATTGAAATATGTTCTTTAGGATGCATGATGCCACCGCGTGTGTGTGTCTGTATGTGTGTGTCTGTGTGTGTGTGTCTGTGTGTGTGTGTCCTCCATAGGAATAATAGGAATTTCACGGTGGCTGCACACCTTTTAGAGTGGTGATCTGGGCCAAAGTAGGCCAGTAGTGCAGATTCTTCTTTCCCTGCAGCATCTGCTGAGCACTTAGTGTGTGTGTGTGTGTGTGTGTGTGTGTGTGTGTGTGTGTGTGTGTGTGTGTGT